TGGCGATAATTATAATTATGTATTACCTAATAATAGTAATATAAGTAATAAACTATTATATAAATGTAATAACTATTAAAAACACAGTTAAGGTATTTTGCTCCCATTATTAATTTGTTTGGGCAATTAATATAGGTATGTCAAATATTGCTAAATATGTATAATGTGAATTGGAATACTTTCCCAAAAATATATCTTTCTAAAGTACACCGCAACATCACCCAATACGTAAATTTTCAAAAAAAAAACAGAATGTAGGTAAAAGGCAACATTGCTTCTAGGGAAAAACAGAAAGTCTGGCAACACTGCCCACTCCCCATTTAAAGGGACAAGGTCAAATTAGAGAATGTCCAGACATCAAAGGCATTCCGCCGGCCGTCTCCTCTGTATTACTTACTCTGTGCTTCAACTTTGCAAATGGAAGTATTAGTCTATCACTTTAAATAAAAAAGTTGGCCTGTCAGGTTTTAAAAAATAGCACTGTATACAAGTACTGCCAACTTACAAATAATAAAAATCAATAATTTTAGTAAGTTACAAATTAAAAATATCGTATGCATAATTTCTTTAAAAGACCTCGATACCTACTTGAAAATAATCTTTCCTCAATATTCCTCATAAAAAATTCAAACGGAACATGCAGGTTACAATAACTATTGCGTTTATTATGTACCTTCTTCAGAGCAGCTTACAAGAGGCTTCTTCTGTGTGAAATTTTTGTCATTCCACTTGACTTGACAATTCCGTGTGTTTACACTAATGTAATTTGGAGTCCTACACCCTACAGAAGTAGCTACAGGAATAAGGGAAAATAATACCTAGATACCTACTATGTAGTAGTGATGTAACGAATATCCGCATTCGCATTGGCGAATATTCATTTGATTTATGATATTCGCATTCGCAAATATCTTTGAATATTTTGCGAATATGAACGTGAAAGAAAAATACAGAATGTGAAAACAATTAATTCTTTTCTTTTTAATTACAAAACTTACTTAAAACAATTATATCTTTCTGTCGTATTCCACCCTTCGAGCGAGCTTCAGGATTTCAGAATACCCAGTATATTCATAGAAGTAGTCTTGTACGTACGGATATGCCGGAGACCGTTGAATTGGGAAGGAGGCGAAACAGTAATATTCGTCTACCTTTCCAGTCGAAACCGAAAACCCGCCACGGTTGCGAAACTAATCGCCGTCGGCGGGCAAATAAAAAAAAAGCCTCCATGGTATCATTTCAGACATCGAACTCGATACCGTCGGGGAGCAATTTCCGCGATTCTGCATCTCAGTGCAGACGTCGCCCCATAACCCAACATCGATCCTCCCGGCGATTTCACCGATGTTTCCAATGTCACCCGCATCGCGACCGATCTCGCCTGGGTCTGCAATCCCGGCGCGCAGTGTCCACTGCCGCGACTCTTGCAACGTGCAGACGAACCCCGGAACGCTTCGAGGCTATATTTGGAAACTATCATCTGAATTTTTACCACACTTTTGAATTGGTCAAGGACGCTATCGCCAATAACTCGAAAAGTTATTGAGCGATTGGTGTCAAAATTTAATGCAGCACTCCTCAAGTCGCCGACATTATCTCACTAAATTTTCGTCCGTTATACGGGGAAACGCG